CGTCGCGGAAAGAGAGGCGGGCTCGTGAGTTGGCGGCTGTGCGGGTTCGGTGCGAATTCGACTAAGGCTCGGAACTCTCGGAGCTGAAAATATCTCATACGCAATGGCTCAAAATGTCTCGGAATCTCGATTTCTTTGGAAAATGCTCATCTCTCGGAATGTGGCTCGACTCTCTCGGGACATGACTCGACTCTCCATCTCCATCCTCGGAATATACCTGAAATTTATACCCAAAACACGAACAAGTACGCCAAAATATAAAATAAATAAGAAAAACAAGAAACACACGATAAACGACAAAATGGACCGGTCGACACTAAAATAAACCTAGAATCGACTCGAAACACACCCAAAAACACATAAAAATAAACACAAAAACATAATAAATAATAAGCTCCTAGTCTAGAGAGCAAAAATAAAACATAAGCTAAGTTACCAAAAAGGAAAAATGAAATAATGAGTGTTGGATCCTCATAATGCAAAGGAAGAAAAATATTTATACTCCACTCAAAACACACACTAGAAAAATGCACAATTAAAAAGACACTCTCGAGCTCTCCATGAAATTTGGGAGCTCGCCGGTAGTGATGTGGACGGGCACACGCGGGAATCAGCACTCTCGAGGTCGCCAGGAGTGCCGCGAGGTCGCGAGTGTGCGTTGGCGTGAAGAGTTGCGGCACTCTCGAGCTTGCATGGCAGTCGGCGAGCGCGCGGGCGTGCGGTAGGCTAGGGTCGCGCGGAGGATGCAGAGGCGCGCGGGACTTGGCACTCTAGAGCCTACCAGCTTTCCCGCGAGGTCGCGGAGTGCGATGATGGACCACTCTCGAGGTCGCGGCCTCTTCCGCGGGCACGCGAGTATCAGCTAGTCTTGGCGTGCGTGCGGGCACGGCGTGCTGGGCAGCACGTGCCCATCTCGACTAAGGACTCAACATATTCAACTGGAAATGGTTCGTTCGAAATGACTCGACTTGACTCAGATTGACTTTGGAGTACTCGTCTCGACTCTCCTCATTCATCCTCGAAATAAACCTGAATTTTTACCACAAAACACGGAAAGTACGCCAAAATACAAAAATGAAACGTAAAACATAAAAACACACGGAAAACGATAAAATGGACCGGTCGATACGAAAACAAACCTAAAACTGACTCGATAACGCACATAAACACATAAAAATAGACACAAAAACATAACAAACAATTTCGCTTTTAGTGTAAAGTTACGTTCTTTAGCTTAGTTCAAACCCCAAATTGTGAGTAGAGTTTTAGGACCTTTCTATTTCTTTTCCTTTCTTGTGTTAGTCAATCGTTACTTGAATCCGTGTTCGAACAACCTTCCCTGAGAGATATAATCCGAGGTTGGGAGTTGTTCCGTACTCGGCCCAAAACTATGAAAGTTGCGTTGTTGCCGAAGATGGCGAGTAGGACATTGAATTTAGACAAATGATTGACTTATTTTTCGTATTTCTCTTGCTTTTTGTGAAATCGCTTCATTTTGTGTTTCTCTAGATTATTTTCTTGTTTTCTATTTCGCTTGATATTTGGTGTTTCTCGTATTTTATGTTTTTCTTGTCTTGGTCTCGTGTGCTTGGGTTGTTTGTTGTTCTTATGCGAGGTAATCCGCTTGATGAGTTCCGACGGATCCATATGGCTATTCTTATGTCGAAAGCTCATCTCGTAGATACCCCGACAAATACCAAGTGGAGATGTACACACCCTATGGAGAGCGACCACGTTCATATCCTATTCAAATTCTTAATTTTATGACGGGTAATCTACTGTTTGTAGTTTTTAGCCGAGTACAGAATAAATTCCAAACTCGGGTACTCCACTTGCTTAAATAATGGTGAAATTAAGCTAATTGCAACTAAAAATTGAAAGAAATTGAAGAAATGGGAGAGTTTGGAAAAAAAGATTGTAACTTTGGTTACACAGAGTCTCCTTGACTTGACAAAAATGAAAATAAACGAAGAGAAACATTCTAGCAATAAGATCATAGGTTGATTAATCGGGTCTTTTTAACTAACTAATCATGCTTTAACAAAGTCGAGACTTTTATAACAAGATAGGCACAAATTTAACTCCTAACACTCAAGCATGCAAGAAAAATAAAACAAAATCCTAAGTCGAGCATCAACACAAGATTCCAGAAAAAACACAAACTCGAAGTAATAAGCCCTAATCAAAGTTCTCACCCACCTACCGTAAGCTCGAATGAAAATAATGAGTAAAGATCGAATTTTGGATAAAAATAAAGTTGCCGAAAAATATCAAGTCTTGGAACTCCAAACTAAAGCATAAAATAAAAGAAAGAAAAAGAGCAAATTTTCAAACTAAAAAGGTGGGAATTTGGGTGATGTCCAAAAATACAAAGAAAGATATCTATTTATAACTACACCACAAACACACACTAAAAATACACACATTTAATGATTCGTCGGGTCTCGAAGTTAGTTTCACAGTGAGCGTGGAGTGTGCATGGGGCTGGCCTCAGGTGGACTCGTTGGGTCGCAAAAGCTGTTCGTAGCGAGTGTCAGGGGTCTCTCACGCCCGGGGTTGCGCGCTCGGGAAGGACGGCTTACAGCGAGTGCTGGAGCGCAGGCAAGTCATCTCGGGAATTCACTCGGTCGCAAAATTATACTTGTTGCGAGTGTGCTAGGAGCTAGGCGCGAGTCTCTCAGGTTCTCTCGCTCGGGCATGGATGAGGACTCGCCAACGAGTGCCAACGAGCTGCCTCGTCCTCTCGCGTGCAAGCGGAATACTACCCGTAGTGAGTGTCTCGAGTAATGCAAGCTGCGTCGCGTGGTCGCGGATGGGCGTTCTTCGGCGAGTGCCTTGTGCGCAGGTCATGTCTCAAGAATGGCCCAAGACAGCTCGGGATATTTCGGATGTCTCAGAAATGGTTCGAATAGCTCGGATAATGGCTCGAGTGATGGCTGGGACAACCCTTCTTCCCAAGCATTGCAACGTGGACCTAATCAACACCAAAAGAGGTCGAAAGGGCTAAGGCGATGGAGGGTGATCCTACGGGTGAAGAAAGTGAAGGCGGAAGAGAGGTAGAGCTAGCGTTACCTGTAGAGGTAGAGTTTGTGTTGCTCGTACAGGAGGAGCTTGGGTTACTAGTGGAGGTGGATTGCTCTAGAGTGTACGAAGGCGAAATAACGAGGGAAAATGACAACAAAATAATAAAATGCAAGTATAATGAGATGGTGCACTACGAAAACAACTTTAAAAAAAGTAGTGAGGGGAGGTCGGCGTACCCATGAAACTTGTTGATGTCGACATGGTGTTAAGGAGGTGAAGAAGCCGGTGCGTGGTCGTCGGGACGATGGGAGCTCGACGTGCTCGGCGGGAGGTCGGCATGCGCGATGAGAGCTCGGCAAGGTCGGAGACTAGGTGCGTGGTTGTCGGGCCGGTGGGAGCTCGTTGGCAAGAGAACACAAGGTCGTCGGAGGTATGTGCACATCGAGAGAAAAATTCCCGGATATCAAAGAGTGATTGCAAGCTTTCTTTTTTAGAGAGAGAAATTTTGTAGGAGAGGATTTTTATTAAATGAGAAGTGATGAATGGGAGAGTGAGAGGTGAGTATTTATAGGTGAAGAGGTCTTGGTCAATCTTGGCCATTAATTTTGAATGAAGATCAAGGGTGTAGAGAGAAGATTGTGGGGGAAGCTAAGTGAGTTTTCCAAAAAGAGATGGTAGGTGAAGACATGTGATGGAAGATGGAGAAGGACAACACATGATATCCTAGGTGGGCACATGATGAGCCTAGGTGGGTGGAGTAAGAAAAATAATAATAAAAATAGTAGTGACATAATATATGAATCATTATTTACAAGGGTGAAAACCAAATGTGGTGTGATGGTGAGTTCCACCCACCGGTTTGTTCACACGGTCAGTCCGACACCCGAATGTGACTCATCGGGACGTCTGGCGGACGTTGCACATGGTTTTATGGCGGCGGTCCAATGGAGACTAGTGGTTGGATCAGTGGTCAGGAGATGATCTGTGGTGTCGAGGGCTTAGGAGGCGGCGCACTGGTTCTCCGGCAATGGTATGTGAATGGTGATGTCCGGCGATTGTTTGTGAATTGTGAGTGTGTGTGTTTGTGGTTGAAGGATAATTAATGGGGTAGGGGACGTTGGCAGGTGAGTGTTAGGAATAATGTTGGGCCCCAAATGATGATGTTTTGGAATCAAATGTCCAATTTACCTTTAATTTGTGGTCAAGTGTCTATATTTGACCACAAACTGAACATTTATTTACAAAACTGCCACCCAATGTTTGACTGCCATATTTAAAATTTGACTACATCATGACCATCGATATGTTGGATCCAATGATCCAAAATCATTCTTATTTCTTTCATTATCTACCATTCTCATATGATCATTTATATATATATATGTGTGTGTGTGTGTGTGTGTGTGTGAAAACTACACATATGTATCTATGTATGTGTATGTATATACCACATAGATCCATTATCTCCTCATACATGCTTTTGTAAAGTAGCAAAGTGATACTATCAAAAATGAACATGCTTTAGTTCAGATCACAAAGAAGTGGACTTATCCATTAGAATTCGACAACATAAGTTAATAGTGAAAAGGGCAATGCTACATGTACAATTGTACTTTACAACATTATTTGACAACATAGTTAAAAGTACCATTAACTTAAATCTTAACCATACATTTATTTGCATCTCAACCATCCACATTGTGCCACATCATGTTGTCATTAAATGTTGTACAAAAGAGTTGTACAAGTAGCTTTTTCCTAGTGAAAATAGCCAAAAAAATAAAAATCCATTTAACATTTTGACTCAAGTTTAGCACAAGTACAAAGAGAACAAAATGAGAATGGACAAATCAAATCAAATCAGAAAGCATTGAATCCTTATAATACAAGATAAGGTAATATCATGCTCTTAAATAAATGGAAAATCTCATTCTTAAAGTTCAGTTTTTTCAACTGCATACAACTTTTTATAACACTTAAATAAAAGGAAAAAATGGTGCAATGTTGGAACTGTCGACTTGATCATTGTGGCTGACACCTGAAAATCATATTACTTACAGATACTGTAATGGTCAATAAGCAATTATTCAAAATAAAAAAGAAAAAAATTATACTAAGTTATTCTTACAAATAATAATAATAACAAGGTAAACTAAATTAGAAAGTACCATTGGTGAATGCACAGATAGGTGCGTTGCTTAAATCCTCAGCAAGCTGCAAGAAAAGTGATCCAAAAAAGGGACAAAGAACAATGAATTAACAAAAATCTATGAAAGATATTACTGATTCCAGTTAAATTAATGCCAGTAAATTTGCTTTCACATAATGTTTGGCATTAAAATATCAGTAAAGAAAAGGAAAAGTAAGAATAATTCTTTTCAGTAAAATTATTATACCTGGAGAAACTGCAGATGACCAAATCCATCATCAGTCCAATAATGCCAAACATCACCAAAATGGCCCGGCCTTTCTTCCCATGGGCCGATAGTTTCTTTCCATCTGAATGCATTCCTTAACCATTCACTTTGAACAAAGCAACCACCTGACAAAAATCATGGATTTCAAGCACATTAAACCTCCAATATAACTCCCTTAGAAAGTTAAATGAGAATCATATATAAACCGTACGTCTCATTTTTCATCAGATTACACACCAATTGCTTGCCTTGGTCATCACCTGATCATGCCAGAAAAGAACAAATTAACAAAGAAGTTTAAAAAAACTACATATATACATGTAGTTATGTATATACATGTGAACAAATAAAACACACCATTATATTCCATCAGTCGCCATTAATTTGTCTGAAGTTGTAAATATCATTCTTCAAACAAAGACGATGGTGCTTTGAACTACAAGCTTGGATGGCCTCACCACAAAACACACCAAAAAGAAAAATAAATAAAGGTCCTCGGATAACAAGGATGGTAAAATTAAATCTAAACAAATGTACACATATAATGTTTTTCCAACGAAGGTGGTGGAGCATAAGCCCTTTTTTTACCCTCATAGAGCTGAATTAACAAAAAATCCCATTATTCACTTTCAGTATGTTTGCAAACAAACCCAAATGAAGCCAATTAATTTAACGGGCATATAGTCCAACAAAAGCAAATACAAGTCTTTCCTGATAAAATGGAAACCCATTTGAATGCATATTTCAACTTTCAGTACCAGCAATAAGATAAGCAAACAAAGGGTAAGATAGGTTCAATACCTTCTTAACACCACGGTCTTTCTTTGCTCTGTTCTTCCTTTCCTTCATCTGCTTCCTCGACTTCTCAACCTTAGTGTCCAGACCATTCTGAATGCAAATATTCCAGACAAATATATCTGATGTTTAGTACATATTGCTAACAAATGAAAACATATATGTTACCACATCGAATAGAAATAAATTTGGAACAGATTATCCGATGAATATATCTCATGGGCGAGAGTGCAACTGAAGTCACAAATCCAAGAAAAACTTATCAATATTCCCACTTAATAAGTATGAAGAGCAATATTTTTAAAAACATAAACCCGAAAGCCAATATCCATTTTAAAGTAAATGAAGTATCAAGGATATCAGTACCACTTGGTTGATCCTCCATTATGACAAATTTTCCCACGCCCAAAGACAAAATGTAAAGAGAGCACAACAAAATAATACAACAAGGCAATTTCACCCCAGCATTTAAATTTCTACATAAGAAACATAGTACAATATATTGGAAGTAACCAGAGACTAATAATGAAGTTTCACATCTCGAGGAGTAAACATATAGCAATAAGAATGACTGGCTAAATTACCCTGATAAGCCTGTATTTAGGCTCAAACTTCTTTGCACTCTCAACAGAATCATAGATCAATCCAAAGCCCGTAGATTTTCCTCTACCAAAGTGGGTCATGAACTTGAACACGAAGATGGCATTCGAATCTTTAACCTCATACATCCTTGCCAACTTCTCCTTCAACTCAGCCTTCAGAAAAAAATAACAAGTTAAAGAAAGTTAACCTTCAGTACATTCCTATCATTCCACTTTTCGAGCAAAAGATCCGATATAAATAGCATTGTCCACATTTTTATTTGCATATAGATACTAAATAACCAGAGACACATTACATTACTGGGGTATAGAGAAAGTTCATAATGTTATATAAAAGTAAGCAAAGCTTATCCTTTTTCATCTCATTAGCATGCTTCATTATGAACTATATTACATGTGCCTTTTCCATTTTTAACACTAACTAACACACAAATGCAGCTAAAATGCTAAAAAAAGCTCAATCTCTTATCAAACAAAACTAAAAAGAATCAACATGAAAGGACAATCCATAAAACAGACCAACCTTAGAAACATTCGCCTTTCCTGGATGCAAAACGTCAATGACCTACAAAAAAATAAAAGTAAGAACAATATGAAATGAATCAAAATCAAGATGAATGGAAAATACTGCAAAATCAGCTTAATAGGCATACGAATTGTTTCCTAGAGAGGAGACGGTTCATCATGAACTTCCTCGTTCTGAAGGTCACTGCTTTTCCGCCATTTTTTCTGCAAAACAAAGAAAGCAAGGTTGTTAAACTCAGCTCATTTTCAATCTGAAGCTCGAAAACTCGTGATTTCTTCAGCTTTAGCAGGAGGTACAATAAAATCAGAAATCAGAAGAGGGATACGGCTGAGTTAAACTACCAGCGAGCAGATGAAGCACGACGGATCCACCGCGTTTTGATCGCCGATCTGAACGACATGCTGAGGAAGGCGGAGAGGATTTCAGATGTGTATTAAGATGCGGTGGATGTTGCGGTTGTTGATGTATCGAGCGCTGAGAACGATACCCGGGGACGGGGTGAGGCCATCTTGGCCTCCAAAAACAGCCAAAAACCCTAACCGTAAAATACCTCATGAGTTTTGAGCTTATGCCGTAGTAAGCAAATCTCGCCGACACCACAACCCCTGAAGCCAGAAATTCATAATCGAGCTCAAAACTACTGTAAAATGAATCTCAAGCGTTCGATTTTGTTACCGATGATGAATGAAGTAGATTTGCAGCAGCTGGATCTCGATCGGACGGAGGGACGGCGGTTGTAGTGATGAATCATGAAACGACGCCACCCGGTAGCAGCGGAGCTTCAGCCCGCCTCGCCGACTCACACTTTGTGAGTCCCATCGTGGTTGTGGCAACGGAAGAAATTGAATGGTAAAAAAAAACTTCATCAAATGGGAAAATTATTTAGGGTTTGACGAAATAAATGGGCGTCGGCGTTAGGTTACAAAACAACGACGCCATTTTAGGTTTACCTTACGGCTAAAGGACAACAGGCCTGAGGAATTCGGCGGTCGTCAGATGCAAGAGATATGTGTCGCCTCCGTCAATCTGTCGTCGCGCCGTGTCGTTACGCTTCCAGGCCGCAACATGTGATGATGTCGCCACCGTCAATCTGAGCCGCCTGCACCATCTGTCCAAAAGCTACCGATTTCTGCCGCTCACGAGCACAGTGAATCGATAGAAAACAGAGAAATGAAAGAGAGAGGTGAGAAGAGGAGATGAGAAATTGGTGGGATTTGAGAGAAATGAACGAGAGATGAAAAGCGAGACAGCGTGCAAAATGACGTCTAGAGAAAGCAAAATGGTGTCAATCACTATCATAGTACAATTACCATACTAACCCTGAAGGAAGGAAAACTATAGCAAACTGAAAAGTTCAAAACTGTTATGAAATACGGGAAATATAAAGAACACAATGTATAAAACCGGATATAAACTGTAATCAGCCTTTTCTTTCACTTCTTCCGTGTGTATTTTACAATGCCTATTGGCTCCCTTTTATAGGCAACTTTTGCCCTCAATCATACACTTGCACACACTTCAAGACACATTACAATATATTAATGTAAAGATAATATTATTATTTTTATTAGTGGTAAATCCACATATTTATAATACTCCCCCTTGGAATTACCACTAATAAATGTGCGTTTATGCTGCCTCGTTAAAAACCTTATCTGGAAAAACCCTGTGGGAAAAAAAACCGAGACAAGGAAAAAAGAGTACAGCCGCACATACTCCCCCTCGAGTTATCATCCGTGCAAATCCCGAAGATGTCTCATTCCAATATTGTGCACGTGCTTTCGAAATATTGTCGTCGGAAGCGCCTTCGTAAACAAATCTGCTGCATTATCGCTTGATCGGATGTATTGAACTTTGATTTGTTTGTTTCTTTCAAGCTCTTGCGCATATGAAAAGAACTTTGGCGGGATATGTTTAGTTCTGTCACTCTTAATGTATTCTTCTTTTGTTTGAGCGACACATGCTGCATTGTCTTCGTATATCACCGTCGGGTCATTATTGTTCGATAGTCCACTGGCTTGTTGAATATGTTGAGTCATGTTTCGGAGCCAGATACTTTCCCTACTTGCTTCATGAAGTGCAATGATCTCAGCATGGTTTGAAGACGTCGCAACTAACGTTTGTTTCTGAGAACGCCAAGAAAATGCAGTTCCGCCAATTGTGAAAACGTAACCTGTTTGAGACCTTGCTTTATGGGGGTCTGATAGATATCCTGCATCTGCAAAACCGATTATTTCATGTTTTTTATCGTTAGAATAAAACAGTCCCAAATCGATTGTCCCTTGGAGATAACGGAATATATGCTTAATTCCATTCCAATGCCTTCTTGTAGGTGCCGAGTTATATCTCGCCAACAAGTTGGTAGCAAAAGATATATCTGGTCTGGTGCAATTTGCAAGATACATAAGAGCCCCTATTGCACTCATATATGGTATTTCAGGACCAAGTATTTCTTCATTTTCATCACAAGGTCGAAATGGATCCTTTTCGACATCTAATGTTCGATTGACCATTGGGGCACTAAGTGGATTAGCCTTGTCCATATTGAATCGTTTCAGAATTCTTTTAGTGTAATTAGATTGATGGACAAATATCCCATTTTGGACCCGTTCTATTTGCAAGCCGAGACAATATTTGGTCTGCCCGAGGTCTTTCATTTCAAACTCGCCTTTTAGTAAAGTGACTGCTTCTTGAATTTCATTTTTAGTCCCAATAATATTAAGATCATCGACATAGACAGCAATTATCACAACTCCATCTTGTGATCTTTTTATAAAAACACACGGGCATATTTGATTATTTATGTACCCACGTTTCAGTAATTGTTCACTCAAACAATTATACCACATACGCCCGGATTGTTTCAAGCCATACAATGATCTTTGCAGTTTTATCGCACATAACTCTTTAGGTTTGGACTTTAGTGCTTCGGGCATTCTAATTCCTTCTGGAATTTTCATATAAATGTCAGTGTCTAACGATCCATATAAGTAAGCAGTCACAACGTCCATAAGACGCATCTCAAGATTTTCATGGATGGCCAAACTAATCAAATATCTGAAAGTAATCGCATCCATAACAGGGGAATATGTTTCATCATAATCGATCCCAGGCCTCTGGGAAAATCCCTGTGCTACAAGACGAGCTTTATATCTTGTGACTTCATTTTTCTCATTTCTTTTTCTGACAAAAACCCATCTGTACCCAATAGGTTTTATGTCTTTGGGTATAATGGTAATAGGTCCAAAAACCTTTCGTTTATTAAGCGAATTTAACTCGGCTTGAATAGCACCTTTCCACTTGTCCCAGTCATGTCTTTTCTGACATTCAATTATAGATTTTGGTTCAGGATCCTCAACTTCTTTGTCAATTTCTTGTGATACCATATATGCGAAAGCATCATCAATGATCTCATCACGCTTCCAAAGTTTCCCATTATTTACATAATTTATGGAGATTTCAATATTTTCATTTCGTTCCAAAATTTTTCCATCATCTTGATTCCTTTTCAAATTCGAATTTTGAATTTCTCTTTTCTTTCGAGGATTCTTATCTTTAGACCCCACTGGTCTTCCTCGTTTCAATTGTGCCTTTAATTCATTTGGCACATTGTCATTTGCCATTTCTTTTGGAATCTCAATTCGAGCAGGGGCATTTATAGCTGCAACATGTGATTTTGTCACCCTTTTTGTATCAGTAAATGCATCTGGCAATTGATTTGCAATATTCTGCAGATGTATAATCTTTTGAACTTCTTTCTCTCTTTGTTTGGTGGGAGGATCAAGACATGACAATGATAATGTTCTCCATTCAATATTTTTCTCAATTGACTTTTCATTCCCACCTAAAGGGGGAAACAGTTCTTCATTAAAATGACAATCATCAAATCGAGCTGTAAAAACATCACCTGTTTTTGGCTCAAGATATTTTATTATTGATGGAGATTCGTATCCAACATATATTCCCAACCTTCTTTGAGGCCCCATTTTTGTACGTTGGGGTGGAGCAATTGGTACATACACTGCACAACCAAAAATTCTAATATGTGCAATATTTGGTTCTCGACCAGATGTCAACTGTAATGGCGAGTATGTATGGTGTGCACTTGGTCTTATGCGAATTAGATTATCTGCATGCAGAATAGCATGTCCCCATACTGAAGTGGGCAGTTTTGTTCTCATTATCAATGGTCTGGCTATAAGCTGCAGTCGTTTGATCAATGATTCTGCTAGACCATTTTGAGTATGAACATGTGCTACAGGATGTTCAACATCAATTCCCACTGCCATACAATAATCATTAAATGCTTGAGATGTAAATTCTCCAGCATTGTCCAGTCTGACTCTTTTTATAATATAATCTGGGAATTGAGCCCTTAATTTGATAAGTTGGGCAAGTAATTTAGCAAATGCCACATTTCTAGTGGATAACAAACTCACGTGAGACCATCTACTAGAAGCATCAATTAACACCATAAAATATATGAATGGACCACAAGGTGGATGAATAGGTCCACATATATCACCATGAATCCTTTCTAAAAATAATGGTGATTCATGCCCGACTTTAGTATGTAATGGTCTTATTATCAATTTCCCTTGAGAACATGAGGTACACGTCAATTCACGTGTTTGCAATATCCTCTGATTTTTTAACGGATGTCCACTAGAATTTTCAATAATTCTTCGCATCATAATCGAGCCAGGATGACCAAGTCTATCATGCCAAAGTTTAAACATTTCATTCGCCTGTGACTTTGTTGCAGCATAAGTCTCAATAATATAAATGCGGGTGTAATATAAGCCCGATGATAAAATTGGCAATTTCTCCAAAACACATTTATTTCCCGCAACATTTGAAGTAATGCAAAGATATTCAACTCCCCCTTCATTCATTGTTTCAACATGGTATCCGTTCATTCGGATATCTTTAAAACTCAACAAGTTTCTTGTTGATTTCGGGGAGAATAATGCATCATTCAATATAAACTTTGTACCTCCCGCCATAAAAAATATGGCTTTTCCAGAACCCTCAATTATCTTTGCATTTCCAGATATTGTGTTTACTTTTGCTTCATTTAATTTCAAGTTGACAAAATATTTTCTGTCCTTGAGTATAGTATGAGTTGTGGCACAATCAGCAAGACATATATCTCCATTTTGAATTCGAGACCGATCCATGATCTAAAAGAAAAACAACATTTATTATTGATTAAAGTCGAAATACAGATAAAAACACACTAATACAACAAAACTTAGAAAGTAATAAAAACAACAACATGATCATCAGTTATTCTCTTGATCATTTCCAGCTCTGTCTTCAAATACTGCATCAGCAAAATCTAGGTTCAACATGTCATCGATGCCATAGTCATCATCTACACGTGTTGTATCATTTGCAGAGGATTCCCCAACTATAAAGTTAGTTTCTACATTTTTATCTTTTGATTTCTGGGAATCATTATATTTATCAACCACGTGTTTCGGAGCACGACAGTTTCGTGCCCAATGCCCCGTCTTTCCACATCGATAACATTCATTTTCATTATTATTTTCTGGCACATTATTTTGTTCAAATTTTGGCTGGAAATTTCTCCCCCTTTCAAACTTTTGGACATAGCCACGGCCTCGTCCACGATAATTCCCTCGGCCCGAGTTGTATCCTCTGTGAAATTTGAAGCCTTGGTCAAATCGGCGATCTGGGCCATATCCACGGCCACGTCCACGTCCACGACCCCGGCCACGTCCCGAG